TCAAGGCCAGATCTTAGACGAGGTAAAGTAGAGTAGTCGGAGTCGTATTAAATTCCCTAATACAGACACTTTTAAAACCTTAGATGTATCAGCAGAAAAGATTCAGGAGGTCTTACCTGACAAACGACTAGGACTTAAAAATCGATTACGATGATTGTCTACTCTGGTTCGTATTTTCGTAGAGGCCTCACAGAAATTATTGGCATTGGTCGTCGTCGTTCCATTGCATCTCCGCTTGATCAGTTTCGCCACTGACTTAACATCAAAACGCCCATTTGTGGGCCTAAAGACAGAAAATTCAGACTCAGAAAGATTATGTTCTTCGGTTTTGCTATTGAGTCTTCAACTTACATCGGAGGAATGTCAGTATTTGGTCTCTTCATTGGCCTAGAATGAAAAGTATGGGGAGACTTATATTTGACCAGAAACTCCAGCTATTCTTATCCTGGAGAATGAAAATTTGGTAGGCGTGTTCGAAGAAACGGACTTGATGTTATAAGATGTGGTGCGAAATATGGCAGGCAAACTGGGTGTTTATCTGTAAATAATACCAATACGTCAAAGCACTCAAAGCAACTAACTGATGTACAGGGTGATCCCATTGGTATAACATGTGATAATGATCAACTGGTTGAGTCAACTACAATAGTTTCTCTGTCCTCTAGGTATACTTTACGAGAAAACAGAACATGTCAGTCGCAGCGGCGAAAGTGTTGCACTTAGCCTTGGTCCATGGATTCATACACACACCAAAGCTCATCGTTGTGACAATGTAGCTCATAGTTTTCGGACTAAAAAAATAGAAACGGACGGTCGACTTTATCTACCTACAATGCTTCACCGACTTCAATTTTCATCAAAGAAATAGAACGGAGGTCATCTCAGCATTTGGTGTGAGCAGACGCTTGTTCCCATCAGTGTTGTAAGTGAAGTAGATCACTGGTTCATCAAGCTGGCGGTAGATCACATCCTTATGCTTCGTCGTAAACAGCGGCAGCAAAAATAATCCAAACAATGACTTTTTAATCCCAAGGCCTGCCAACCCCAAGAATTTTAAGGAGCAATCGTCCTGAACTGAAGTATTGCTTGATGATATCATTAACATCTCTATACCCTTGTCGGATGTACAAACCATCCGGAATCGACTTACCAAAGATTGCCGTCGGAGTATTCAACAAATTCCGACCTTGCGTTCATCACCATCGTGAAGTTGCTGTACAAGTGCGGCCTACTCTTTCATTCATTTTCGATCAAAGTCATCCGCACGCTGCCTTTTATTATCTGCGTCTTCTGTCATAACCACCAACACATTGACATGA